AATACCTGCATTAAATTCAAATACTTTCTAACCTAGTTATGGCAGCAAATTGGTAAATAAGGACCTCTGACAATATGGCAAATGTAAATTGTGACCCTTCCTGCCTGAAGCTAAATTGCACTTGGCACTTTACTGAAATAAAGACATAGAGGGGGAGGGGGGGAAAAATCATGTGCAGGATCAGTCACCCAGTACCATTCTCTTTCAGGCTGTGGATACATTTGACTGTTGAAGGCATATCAGAGATGTCTACTGCCATGGGGACCGGACCCTGCTTTATTCAAGCCTCAATCATTCATTGTCAGTGTCCATAAGCCACCCACTTTATTTTCATAGACCATTTCTCCAGTCATTATACAGACTCTGTTGGTACCAGCACTCCAGCTTCTAACATGCTGCAATTTCTTTTTTTTTTTTTTTTGAGTTAGGGCCTCACTCTGTCACCCAGGTTGGAGTGCAGTGGCATGATCACAACTCACCGCAGCATTGACCTCCTGGGCTCAGACAATCCTCTTGCCTCAGGTTGCTGAGACTACAGGTGTGTACCACCATGCCTGGCTAATTCTTTTTCTTCTGTAGAGATGAGGTCTCATGTTTACCAGGCTGGTCTCAGACTCTCAGGGTAAAGTGTCCCACCCACCTCGGACTCTTTAAGTGCTGGGATTACAGGCATGAGCCCCCGTACCCAGCCACCACACCATAAGTGGCCATCTCTCTTTGCCCACTAGGGAATCTTTACTGCTCCAATACTCATCCTGGTTAATTTGTCAGACCATTGTCTCTGGTGATTCAACGTCAGGTTTCTCATTGTCATCTTTGCTTTCCAACTTGGGGTTTAGTTCAAATGAGCTCCTGTTCCAAATGATGAAGTTTACTGCAACCACTATGTGTCTCGAGCCATTCAGCCTCGCCAGGGACAGGCAGAACCTTACTAAAATCCACACCAACAAGTCCCACCCCTCCCACCCATACCCTTCACCTTCTTTCTCCACACTTGCACTGTAGCTGCCCCTACAAGTCTCCGTCCTTCTTTCTCTATCCCTTTGCTTCTCAGAGAGCTGGGCTTTCCACATGCGTAGGGACAAAATTCAGCATCAAAACAAGAGCAGCTTTGATTGTTGTCTGATGGTTGAGATTTCTGCTGGCTGAGTAGATGACATAGCCTTGTCTCAAAGCCCATGGTGTACCCCTTCATGAATTTCTGCACGTGGGCACGTTGCTGAAGGAAGCCAAGTCTCTACCCCGTGCAAATAACACCTTTACTCTGTTTGGGGATTTGGGGGAAAAGCCTTACATTATTTCATTAATTCCATCCGTTGATGAGTTCCCTTGTGATGGAATAGCAGGATACCCGCTCTGCCCAGGCCCAGAGGCAGTAAAAGTCTGCAAACAATCCAAGAAGACATTACCTGCAGGAGCTTGGTAACACTAGGGTGGCCCGAGGTGAGAAGGGCCTAGCCCTCTATTCTCAGATGGCTTGTCTTTGTTTTCTGTGGTGGAATAACTCTTGAGAACTTTCTCAGATTCAGCTTTTATGAGGGGGGACACACACACACAAAACAGAATGATCTTTTGGAGGGTAGGCCCTTGTGGTACAGGCTTGCCCAGGTAGGTAACTGTTCTAGGAACCCGTCAGTGTACCCGCTAGTGTTGTTGTGAGAGGCTGTGTTCAGCTTCAGTGAGTTTGGGGTTTTTTTGTTTTTCGTTTTGGAAAGTCTCAGGGTGTTTGTCCATTTCAAGATGGTGATTTGCGAGTGCACCTGCCCACACTGTGCTGAGTGTTCAGCAGTTTTTGACCAAAAACATCATGACCCCTGTGCCTCACCCTTTCTATTCACCCAATCTCTCCAAAAGTCACTTTGTTCTTTTGCTTCCCCAGATGAAAAAAGCCCTCAGCAGGAAATATTTTGCCACTGTGGAATCAGTGAACCAAAAAAACAAAAACAAAAACAAAAACAGCAGAAGCACTAAAAGGCAACAAAATTGATGAGTTTATAACCTGTTTTGAGCAGTAGAAAAAGTGATTCCATAGGTGTATTGCATCAAACAGAGAGTACTTTGAAGGTGACTGAAGTTTAAACATGTAAGAATAAATACGCATTTTTTTAACAAATAAATTCCGTGTTTTTTGGGGGGGTCCCACCTCATATTTCCTGTCACATCCCCTGACAAGCTTCACACATCTTCTTCATTCTTTCTTGGTCAAAGTCCTCCGTAGGACACAGTCTGAGAATGGGCTTTCTGTTTTCTCTTTGTGCCTTGATGAGAATAAATAGAAAGAAAAGAGAAGAGAAAAGAGTGTTTGAAGGAGAAAGTAGAAGAGGAGAGAAGATAAAAGAATGGTGCTGAGAAGAGGGAGGAGAGAGAAAAAGAACACAGGGTGTGACGTTAGGGAGAGGAGAAAAAAACAGGAGTGGTGACTGAGGTAGATCAGTCAGTGCAGTTTAGACATTGAGAAGTTTCTTGTAGGCAGGTCTGAGTTAAAATAGGGTAAGCATTCAGGCAGCTTTTTTATTGGTACATGACCTTCACCCGACTGACCAAGCACATCAGATCTGACCACCTTGTGGGCTAGAATGTGGATCTACCAGGGCATTAAATAACAGAAATAATAGGGAGTTACCCAAAACACAGATATGATGTTTAAAAATAGTCCAAATATAGACAGGCAATAAGTTTTGTTAGTTAGAAGGTCCTTATGACCTTAGAAGGTAGAGAACTGGTCATCAAAACTCATGACAAGACACCTGCTGTCCTATCCTCTGAACTCATAGAAGGTGGAGAGATGGTCATCAAAACTCATGACAAGACACCTGCAACACACCCCTCTTAGCTCATAGAAGGTGGAGACATGGTCATCAAAGCTTGTGACCAAATACCTGCACCTCACCCATCTTAACTCATGGTTTGCTTAATGATTTTTATAAAAGACAAGCATGTGGCCCTTCTTTTAAGGTACCCATGCCTTCCTTGATCACCCCTTTTCTTTCTAATAATTTACTTCTTAAGAAAGAAATATACCTAGGATTCTCTCTGAAATTATTTTCTGTGGTGAAATCAAGAACTCACAGAGCAACATGTTGCACCCCACCCCGCATCAGTGGCCACAGAGAAAAAGGAGGAGGAAGAAAGATGGCCTCAGATCCATCCAGCTCCACCTTCAGAATTTCACAAAAAAACAGAGATGAGGTTATTAATTTCTTACTATATAACTTATTATTCCATAACACATATTCCAAATTTAAAATTTTAAAGTATCAATGATGCCAATGAAAATTTGAAAATCTTGTTTTTCTATTTCTATTGTTTATGTAAAAGAATAGCTATCCCTATCAAATGTCTCTGAAAATATTGCAAAATTAATTTTCCATTAGTTAAAAGCAAATCCAATACTTCCAAAAGATTACACCTTTTACAAGCTTTATTCTCTTCAGATGACACAGAGATTCATAAATAGAATAGATTAAAATAACAAGTTTATCCACATTTCAAATTTCAAAACCCTTATCCAAACAATTGAGGTTAAGACAAAAAAAAAATTAAAATCACAACATATGAGAGGAACCCAAAAAAAACTCCCGGAATTTATTCATCAAAAATTGTGTATTTATTCTTACATGTTTAAACTCCAGTCACCTTCCAAGTACTCGCTGATGCAATACACCTATCAAAATGCTTTTTCCACTGCTCAGAACAGTTTTTAAACTTGTCTATTTTGATGTCTTTTAGTGCTTCTGCCTTTTTGTCTCACCTCTTCCACATCGGCAAAACATTTCCCTTTGAGGCCTTTTTTATCCGGGGAAACAAAAGTCACTTGTGAGATTGGGTGAATAGAGAGGGTGGGACACGAAGGTCATGCCATTTTTGGTCAAAAACTTTGAACAAGCAGTGCTTCTGGGCAGGTGTGCTCATACCTCACCCATCATGAAATGGATGAATGCATTGAAAGAATCACCCCCCAAAAAAAATTCACTGAAGCCGAGTGCAGCCTCTCACAACAATGCTAGCTGGCACACGGATGTCATGGGTCCCTAGGACAATTACTACAAGGGGCCTGACCCCAAAAGATGATACTGGTTTTGGGGGGGCCCCCCTTCCTACATAATTAATGACAAATAAAATATGTCCCAGTTCCTATCAAGTATAAATGTATAATTGCTGTCAACAGATATGAACTAGAACAACAAATTAAATTTAAAACAAGGAAAAGGAATGTATAGCTATATATACAAGCAGAACTTCTTGTTCTCTTCAAGCAATTCCTTAACCCTCCACCCCCATGGCCCAGGCTCTGGGCCTGTAAAGCCCCTGGAACTGAGTCCAGCCTGTCTTTGCTTCCCAAGTGAAGAGAGAACAGTAGTGAAATTTATGTTCTGGTGGGTGTCAGTATAGACTTATTTATTCCACATAGGCACTTTTGCATTTTACATTCCAGTTTTATCACTTACAACATGGAACACTGCTGTTTTCAACGTGTCAAGGAAAACATCTCAGTTTGTAAGATTAAGTGACTCACACTACTCTTTTGCCGCAGATTGCTTGAAATGCTAACTTAGAACAGGCGGGACGCAGCCCCGCTTTAAAAGAAACTAAGGAAATTTAAGCCAAGGAGGTGGCGGGTGCCTGCAATCCTGGCGCTCTGGGAGGCTGAAGTGAGAGGATCACTTGAGCCAACGAGTTCGAGGCCAGACTCGGCAACAATAGAGGCACCTGCCCACAACCCTCATAAAATTAAATTAAAATGAAATAAAATAAAACAAAATGTAAAAAAAGGAGACTTAAAAGAATGAAAAAGTGGAGAAACAAGTAATATTCAACAGAGGGCCTCGGGTACCTGAAAGCATCTAGGGTGTGAAGGCAGAGTTTTTTTTCCGCCCCCCGCGCCGCCCCCGCCCCCCCCGCGCCCCGCCCCGCCGCGTCCCGCCCCTCGCAGGCCCAGCCCCGCCCAGGCCAGCCCCTTGCGTCACCTTGCCCACCGCGCAAGCGCAGTTTCGTGCAGACCCGGAAGTGAGTCAAGCTGGGTGACAAACAGGCTCCGGTGAGTGAGTTTATTATTTCTATTTCTATTTATTTCTATTTCAGACCGCGCGTTGCCTCCTCGCAGCCCTTGTCTTCCAGGCCCGCGGGGGTCGGGAGTTCTCGGGCCTCTCTGTGACTTTGCAACCACTGCCCCAGCCCACGGTGAGTGCCCGCGGCGCCGGGAGACGTCCGAGGCCTGGCTGCTCCGCAGCGTTGGGGGTCCGTGTCCACTTCCCCTTATTACATCAGTCTCAGCTCCGTACTCTCGCCGGCGGTTCTGCTTTCGGTCCGCGTGGAGACCCCGGTGTCATTTTCTTACTTAAAACCCTTCCCAGACCTTCCTTGCTCCGTCCCCGCCCTCAGCTTCTTTCCTGATGGGGGTTGGGGACGCTCCCCTGCGTGGGGTTTGGGCAGGGCGGGTCTATGACTTGCAGGGGAGGGTGATGCCAGCCCAGCTCAGAATGTGTGGGCCCCACCAGGAGGACAGCGAGTTCTAAAGAAAAGGGTGAGGGGGGAAAAAGACTCGGTTACTGGTCTCTGTGTCCCCGAATCCCTCCTGTTGCAGCGGGCAGCCGAGGACCGTGTTTTCTACGTGTTGGGATTCTCCGTGTGTGATTGCAACTCAGGGGAGGGGGATAAGTTGATTCTAAGCATTAAACAGCCTATTTTTCAACACACAGGGTTGACTTCTCAAGACCGATCTTACCCGAGGAAGAAGCCCAGGGGAAGAGGAAAGAAAGGGGAGTCAGAAATGGCTCTTGCCCAGGTAAAAGTCATGTTCTTGGTTGGTGGTTGTGTCTCTTTCCTAAAGTGCTGTTTTGTAGACTCAGTAATCTGTGATTCTGAAATATACTGCCTGATATGTTGACTGGCGTTCACCCTTCCCTTCCCTCAGCCCCTTCTCATCTCCAGCAGATTCCATCTCAGAATGATCCACTGACATTGAACTTGTGAAGAGTCTCCATTGGGAGGATTATCATGGGAAGAGTTCCCTACTCAGGCGTGGATCAGAGACTGGGAGTGGGTCCTGAATTGTCAGTGATATTGGGCAAAGGGGGTTGTCTTACCGGTTGCATGTGAATGTACTGTTAGCTCACCGTAGACCAGCATTAAAAAGAGCTACATGCCTGTCCACAGGTAGACCACGCCCGTGGGTGCCAAACCAGCCTGGGCAACATGGTGAGACCTCATCTCTACAATAAATCAAAAAATTAGCTAGACGTGGTGGTGTATGCCTATAGTTCCAGCTATTTGGAAGGCTGAGGTGGAAGGATCACCTTTAGCCCAGCAGGTCGAGGCTGTGGTGGTGGTGCGTAGCATACCACTGCACTCCAGCCTAGGCAACAAAGTGAGACTGACTCAAAAAAAAAAAGAAAAAAGAACTGCAAAGACTGGGCGGGTAATTTACGCCGGTAATCCCAGCACTTTGGGGAGGATTACTTGAGCCCAGGAGTTTGAAGCCAGCCTGGGCTGGTTTCTACAATAAAAAAAAATTGGTAGGCTGTAGTCGTAGTGGTGTGTACATGTAGTCCCAACTACTCAAGAGACTGAGGAGGGAGGATTGCTGGAGCTCAGGAGTTTGAAGCTGCAGTGGGCTGTGATTGTGCCACTGCATTCCAGACTCCAAATCAAAAAAAAGCTGCACATCATATGCTGTATTAATGTGCAGCAACAGTTGGTAAATTCTAGAAAATAAGACTGATAAGGGGAAACTTGCTTTCTCTTATTTTACAATACACCTGAAGCTAAGCAAGTGAGTCAGTGTGTTTCTGCCCCTAAAATATTAATGATTTGGACTAGAGTGGAAAGTTCAGAAACAGATACCAGTGATAGAGGTTATTTTATTGTTTGATTAGCTTAACAGTAAGAGACTCTTTAAAATCATCTGCAGCACATCTATCACATGAAGACCCTGATGTTTATGCAGAAACTCTTATGCAGCTGATGTTTTAGATTACAGTGTTTCTAATTCTGCCAAGTCATTGGAGTAGAGAACTTAATCTTTGTCATCAGAGAGGCTAGAGCCAAATTTTGATTCCACCAGTTGTTACTAAGTATTACATTTATTTTAAACATTACATGGTGTGTCTTTGTCTCACTCCAAATAATGTTGCAGGTTAGGGATTAAGGAGAATAGTGATCCACCCTTATCTGTGGATTTACTTTCCTGTTTCAGTTACCCCCAGTCAACTGAGGTTTGAAAATACCTAAGTACTATACACTACAAAATACCTAAGTACTATACACTACAAAATACCTAAGTACTATATACTACTACTGTATTGAGAGAGGAAAACAGAATGACAGAATTTGGATAATTTTTATTACAGTGCATTTTTAATAATTGTTCTATTTTGTTATTAGTTATTGTTAATCCCTTACTGTGTCCAATTCATAAACTAAACTTTATCATAGGTATGTATGTACAGGAAGAATAGTATATTATTTTTATTATTATTTGGGTCGGAGTCTCACTCTGTTGCCCAGGCTGGAGAGCAGTGGCACACTCACAGCCACCACAACCTTGACATGCTGGGCTCAGGTGATCCTTCCACCTCAGCCTTCCAAGTAGCTTGGACTACAGGCGCGTGCCACCACACCCAGCTAATTTTTTGATTAGTTGTGGAGACTGGATCTTGCCAAGTTGCCCAGGCTGGTCTCAAATCTCTAGGCTCAGGCAGTTCTCTCGCCTCCACTTCCCAAAATGCTGGAGTTACAAGCATGAGCCACCATGCCTGGCTGCTAAAACATAGTATATTATAATGTTAGGTACTATTGCTGGTTTGGGGCATACACTGGGGACTTGGAACGTATCCCCCGTGAATAATGGGAAGCCACTGCAAAACATCAGCTTCTCTGTCATGCCGTCCATCATCAGTCACTGTCTTCATTTGGAATCACTGTCTTCAGTTCTTTGCAAGATTAAATACAGGTCTTGTAAAAATGCATCTCCTTTTTGCTAAGTGACTTTAGTTGAAATTCTTCAGTGAGTGTTATGTAGTGATATGTTATTCTACACATGTTTTCATGTTAGTAAAGACAGACGTAACTTCCTTTTTTAGGTGTTTATGAGAGCACTTTCTGATTTTAGACACTTAGGTCCTTTGCACTTTTTTTGCTGTTATAAAGTATGCCACAGTGGTTGTCTCTGTACAAGCCAGCTGTATCGGAGATTCCTCTGGGTTGGCTTGAAGTGTGATTACTGGATTAAGGATGGTACGTTTCATATTTTGATAGATTCATGCAAGATGTATTCCCCCAAAGATGCAGAGATACTCTTCCAGCTAGCAACATGTGAGATGTAAATACAGCTTGGTACTGCAGACCTTTTGTAGTTTGCTTGTGTTATTTTTTACTTACTGTCACTAAAGAAGAAACATTGTTTTCAGCATATTGCTATTAATTCTCATAGATAAAACACCTTCTTTTTCTAGGTTGCAGTCACGTCATCTAGGAATAATGGTTTCAACTCTTTGGCTCTTTTTGTGTCTCCTTCTTTTCCCTCCTCTGCTGGTCCTACCCAGGCATTCTGTGCCATAGTGAAAGTCTGGAGCCCTGGCTGGAACCCTGGTCTCAGCCTTGTCTTTAGCAGATCTGCTTCCATTGTTGATACCTGATCGTGCTGTTTGCTGAAATTTTCTTTCTTAGTAACAGATCTTTTAATTTCCTATGAATGGTGATTTTTATTTATTCAATTTTTTTCAAGAATCTATTCACTTTTTGAATTGGAGGATAAATTCCATTTGGCTTATATTAATGAATAAGTATCTAAATTTAAATGGGTAAAATTGTATTGATATTTGCATGTATGTTTTTAATGAAGATTGTAATTAAGGTTTTCTCTTTTTTTAATTTTTGTAGGTTTTTTAAAACTTGGCAAATGCAGAATAATGTTGACAACAACCTAATTAAAATTAAGTACAATTCGTACGTGTCCAATTTTCAAAAAAATGCTGTATTGTTATTAGTTCATGAGAGGAAAAAAATAGTTTAAAAAATTTATCCAAAACAACCTGTCATTTAGAGATAGCAATATTTACTGAAAGTTCATGTTTATGATAGGAGCAGAAACCTATAGTGTGTATAAAAGACACGTCATTGTTTCATAAATAAGTTTTATATATATTTTAACCTTTGAAAATTGGTCTTAAATGTTTTCCATGGCCTTAAATTTATTCTACACTATCATGTTAATGAGTCAATAGCAGTACAAATGGTAGCCTATTATGTCCATACATGTGTATGTTCATATACTGGGGTTGCCCGAAAAAATGTATACACATCTTAAGAGATATTATCTATGTATTACTTTTTGAAGTTGAATTGAATTGTGGTAGCAATATGTAATATGATGTTTACTCAAAAGATGGTGGTAATCAAATGAATGCTAACATCACCATGTGATGGGCAGGGCAGTCAAAGAAAATGGCAATAGCACAGTTGTCGTTCGAGGAACACAAGAACATTTTGAAGTTTGAGAACGTTGTGGAAGTATGATGACAATGGAAGTGTCTGTATGCAACAGAACCTCTGACACACCCAACAAGTACAGGCTTTTGTGATAAGTTTAAGATGCATGGTGCTGTGTGATGTGTACAAGGGAAGACCTGGGAGATCTCACACAGCCACAAGTCCTGCTTCTTCTGCTGTGGTATTGGAACAGTTTACGCACTTGCCACAGAAGTCTACCAAACAGTGGCACAGCACATGACACAGGAGTCAACAGAACAAGCATTCTTAAAACAGCAAAATGGAAAGTTTTCATCTCAGGATTATTATTCTTAAAATGTGCATACATTTTTTGGCACCCTGTATATAGTGACCTTTGATGCAGTGCCATATTGTTAGCCTTGAACTTGTTTCAGGTTTTCTCAGGAAACTATCAACATACTTTTAATACTGTACCTATTACTTAACTGTGTGATTATTTAGGTTCAATTCTAAACCCTGACCTTAGGCTAAATTCTAACCTTGTACTACCTGGTTGGTGCAAGGCTGGTAGAATGGCTGACTCTGCCATTTCTTTCCTGTTTGACCTTAGATGAGTTTCTTGAATGTCTGTGATACAATTATTTCCTCTGTAAGGTGGTAACCGATATTTCTCTACTGTTACACAAGATAATACACATTTAGAGTAATGCGTAGCACATGGTAAGTATTCAGAAACCTTTAGTCACTTCCATTAATGATCCTCATCACAAATTGTTAAATTCTAAACTTTGATGACACTGTGACTTTGCAATCCCTAAAGGCACTACTTATGCTCCAGATCAGGGTTATCCAACCTTTTGGCTTCTCTGGGCCACACTGAGTAAAGAGGCATTATCTTGGACCACACATAAATTACATAATATAGTTAGTATATATACATATATGCATCGGGAGGTCACAAGAAAATAAACGTTCAAAAACACATGATGTTAAAAGATTTTGTGGGACTACATTACTAGTTGTACTGGGCTGCACGTGGGCCATGGCTTGGACATGGCTGCTGTAGATCATCAGAGAAATTGGATATTATTGGTATATAGAGTGCAATATCTAGCACTTCTCTATAGACCATTTTGTGATGAATTTCTTTTTCATTTGTATATTTATTTTTCACAAAGTTGTGAAATGCACAGTGATTTTGTAGATTTCCTGTCCTCTGGTTGGAACGTATAATAAAATAAAATTAGGGATATATAACTTTTTAAAAATTATCTTACACTGATCTGCCAAAACACTCACTCCTGCTGAATCAATTCTTATACCTCTCTCTCATCGTTTTATGTGAAGAGCTCTTCCCATGTCCACGTGGTGAAATGTGTTTCTCATTACAGGTGCTGTTGACATTTGAAGATGTGGCCATCAAATTCTCTCAGGAGGAGTGGGAATGCCTGGACCCTGCTCAGAGGGCCTTGTACAGGGACGTGATGTTGGAGAACTACAGAAACTTAGACGCCCTGGGTGAGGTTAACTTCCCTCCAGAAATCAATGTGTCTTCTGTATTTTTCCTTATGAGTGTGTAGGGGCCCTACTTTGCTGACTGAGTTTCAGAACCTTGTATTTATTCATTTATGTATTTACTTACTTATTTGCTTACCTATTTTATTTATTCATTCATTTATTTTAGAAAGCAAGATTTATTGAAGACAGAAAAGCTTCCACAGTGAGAGGGAAACCCACCCTTGTTTTTAAGGGAGAGATTGAAGCCATGTTGATTCAGAAACAAAAGACTTCATCCAAGCACAGCTACTTTTAAAAAATAATGCAGCATCTTTACATTAACCTTTCCTTTCTTCAGGTGATCTGCCCACTTCAGACTAGATTACTAATGCTTCCAAAATTATAAAAGCTTGTAGAAGAAGTTTAACATATCTGATTCCCTTGTTTTACTTCTGTGCTTTTGATTTTCAGTAATCCTTGGAGGGAGCTAGATATCTGTATATTTAAAATAACCCTTAAGCATTCAGTAGAAAGCGGACAGTGGACAGACTTATGAAATATCTTTTAGATCCATATGTAATGTTCTCTCTTCTCAGCTGAACAAAGGACAGGGATGATATTCTGGAAAAGCTACAGCACATCATATTTCTTTTTTCTTAAGCAGGAATCTCTGTTTCTGACTGGAATATCATCTCTCTTTTGGAACAAGAGAAAGAGCCCAAGAATGTGGAGGGTGAGGTGAAAATAGCAAAAAATTCAGGTAGGTGGGAACCTAATTGTCAGACCTCGTATTTGAGAACTCTTCTTAGGAGATGAAAAAACAGTGACTGCTCTTCCAGTGCATCTGGGGCCCCAGAAAACTACACAGCCTGTCTTAGGGCCACTCTGCTTCTTCAGGTCCCTCAGCTATTTCTTCAGTTTTGTTTTTGCCACATGTCAGGAGTATGTAATGGAGAGTAGTATGGATCTTCTGAGGTGGTTACTCAGCAGTATTATATACGCCATAGACAGAGATTGTCTCTTGGATCCCTATCCTGCGCAGGGCTCATACCTCAGTCTTTCAGGTGTTCAGCCTGGGGTCTATGATTGTATTTGAATCCATATGATCCTCAGTTCTTTTTTATTTTTCAGTTTTTATTTTAAAGATATAGGGTGCAATTCAGCGTTAGGTATGCAAATGGTCATTGTACAGGTAAAGTTTGGGCCTCACTTTTGTCCCCACTTCGCCTGGTTTGAGATCAGGTACCCTTATTCATAAAGTGTGTGCCCCACTTCCCCTTGCCCCAGCAGTTTCCCACTACTGCTAATCCCTTTCTTATAGTGTTATGATAATTGTGATCTTCAGTTCTTAGTTCACATGGGGACTGAAGTCCTCATACCAGGACCTGTCCAGGTTCCGTCCTCATTTCATATACGTGGTTTGACATTTAAGTTCATAAACTCATCCTAGAAAAAATGCTACATACCTCACTGCTGAATATCACTATGATCACCTTTGAAATACTCCCTTTGGGAAGTTAGACACCAATGCCAGCACCTAGTACACCTGTCAAAGCAATGTGGGGACTCTTTTTCTGTAATGACTATCAAAGTCATCATCATATTACCCTTGACATCCTAAATGCCATCAAATGTCTTCCTTTCAATATTTCCTTTATCTTTGAGTAAAGGAAAAAGTCACTGGGGCCAGACTGGGTGAGTAGGGAGGTGTTCCAATGCAGTTATTTGTACAGTACTACCAATGGAAGTGCACAGTGGGAAGTTCATGAACTTAATAGTCAGACTTCAGCAAATAACAAATATAACTCTGATGGCCATTCCAGAAAAAGAGTTCCAAAATTGCTTTGATAGGTGGACTAGGAGCTGGTGTTGGTGCACAGCTTCCCAAAGGGAGGACTTAGAAGTTAGTGATTCGGCAGTGAGGTATGTAGCACTTTTCTAGGCTGGTTCGTGAACTTAATTGTCAGGCCTCATATTTGAGAGCTCTTCTTAGGAGATGAAAAAACAATGACTGCTCTTCCAGTGCATCAGGGGCCCCAGAAACCCACACAGCCTCTCAGGACCTCTCTGCTTCTTCGGGCCCCTCAACCATTTCTTCCATTTTGTTTTTGCCACAGTCAGGCGTATGTAATGGGGAGTAGTATGGATCTTCTGAGGTGGCTACTCAGCAGTACTGTACAAGCCGTAGACAGAGATTGTCTCTTGGATCCCTATCCTACATGAGGCTCATACCTCAGTCTTTCGGGTACTCAGCCTGGAGTCTGTGGACAGAGCACATGGCTTCTTCTCAAGGACACCACAGAATCTGACCCCCTGACTCTCCTGTCTTGCCTTTCCTCCGTCTTTCATTACTCTGTGTTGACTAGGAATGTAGAAAAACCTTGCTCCTAGTTTGTCTTATTTTGTTTTTGAAACTTGCTTTTATAGATTCTGAATTTTTTTCCTCTTTTTCTGCTATGATAATCTATATTTAGGTGATGGACAACTTCTGGTGGATTTTCCCATGGAGGGAGTTTAATGAATAACAGAAAAACTTTTAAGGAAAAAATATTGATTAATTTGTCACAGTATAAACCTGCCACCCACAGAAATGCCCACTTACACCACTGAGTGGAGTGGTCAGCAGGTTCTAGGATGCTGAGATAGAACATGTCAGGAGAGCCGGACTGACCAGTGATTATGGTTGTCTTTCTGCTCTTTGTGGAATATCACAGTGTCCCTCAAGGGTATTGTGGGCTGGGCACAGTGGCTCATGCTTGTAATCCTAGCACTTTGGGAGGCACAGGCATGATGGCCCACACCTGTAGTCCCAGCTTCTTTGAGGGCTGAGATGAAAAGATTACCTGAGCTTAGCAGTTTGATGCTGTGGTGGCCATGACCATGTCACTCTACTTCAGCCTGAGTGACAAAGTGAGACTCAAACTCAAAAAAAAAAAGGCAACATGGCAATGTGATCATTATAGAATAATGATTATTCCCTGTGAGCTGACAATCACCAATTACAGGTGTGCAAATTTGTTCTAGTGAGAGCTTGTCATGGCCTCTTATCTGTGACACTGTTGACTAAACTATCTATGCTGGATTTTTCTTTTTCTTTTTTTTTTTTAAGCTTTGCTTAATCTTTTTAAAAGAAGTCCTTTGAAGTCCTTTGTTCAACATGGTTTTTAAGAAACTATTTTATGATGGCATAAAATAAATTTATTGACTGGGCTTGGTGGCTCAGCCTGTAATCCCAGCACTTTGGGAGGCCGAGACGAGTGGATCACCTTAACCCACGGGTTTGAGACCCACCCAGGCAACTTGGTAAGACCTTGTTTCTTTCTTTCATTCGTTCTTTCATTCGTTCTTTCTTTCTTTCTTTCTTTCTTTCTTTCTTTCTTTCTTTCTTTCTTTCTTTCTTTCTTTCTTTATTATAGAGATGTGGGGTACAATTCAGGGTTCGGTATATAAACATTAATCATGCAGGCACTTTTGTTGATGAGGTATACCCCTCCCTTCCCTAGCAGTTTCCCTCAACTGCCAATCCTACCCCCCTCTCCTAACTGTTTTCCACTACTGCCAGTCACTTTCTAATAGCATTATAATTGGTCAAGGTCACTTTATGAGTGAGAAAATATGGAACTCAGTTCTTTATTTCTGTGATAAATCACTGAGTATGATCGACTCCGAATCCATCCAAGTTGCTGCAAAGTCCATATATTTGTCCTTTTTTATGGCTGCATAATATTCCATTGTGTATATGTACCACATTTTTTTTATCCAGTCCAGCTTCGATGGGCAACACAGTTGGTTCCATGTGTTTGCTATTGTGAATAGAGCTGCAACAAACATACGTGTGCAGGTATCTTTTTTATAGAATGATTTGAGTTCCTCTGGGTGTATTCCCAATAGGTGAATTGCAGGGTCATATGAAAGGTCAATTTCTAGTTCTTTCAGAAATCGCCACACTGTCTTCCAAAGAAGTTGCACTGGTCTGAATTCCCACCAGCAGTGTAGAAGCATTCCTTTTTCTCCACATCCTCGCCAACATGTGTTGTTGTTTGTTTTATTAATAATGGCCATTCTTACAGAGGTTAGGTGATATCTTAATGTGGTTTTCATTTGCATTTCCCTGATGATGCATAAGGCTGAGCACTTTTTCATGTGTCTGTTGGCTGCTCATATATCTTCTTTTGAAAAGTGTCTATTCATGTCTTTTGCCCACTTTTTAAAGGGACTGTTTTTTTTTTTCCTTTTCGCACATTTGAGTTCCGTGTAGATGCTAGATGTTAGGCCTTTGTCAGATATACAGTTGACAAATATTTTTTCCCATTCTGTGGGCTGTCTACCTGCTCTCTTGATGGTTTCTTTTGCTTTGCAGAAGCTCGTTAATTTGATAAGGTCCCACTTGTCTATCTTTTTTTTTTATTAATCAGTATTTTTTATTATGGTTTTGTGGGGTACAGTTAAGGGTTAGGTGTACAATTACGTTTCATTCAGGCACCCTGTTGATAAGAGGTGTTTTCCCTGCCCCAGACAGATATTTGCTACTGTTAATCCCATCCCCCTCCCCCCATAGTTTCCCAGTACCATCAGTCATTTTCTTATAGTATTACATTGGATGTTCAAGGTCCATTATATGAGTTAGAACATGTGATATTCGGATCTTTGTTTCTGTGAGAGGTCACTCAGTATTATAGACTCTAGTTCCATCCAGGTTGCTGCGAATTCATGACTTTGTTCTTTTTTATGACTGCGTAGTATTCCATCATGTATATGTACCACATTTTTTTAATCCAGTCCTCTTTTCATGGGCAGCATGGTTGTTTCCAGGTTCTTGCTACTGTGAACAACGCTGCGATAAACATACATGTGCAGGTATCTTTTTTATAAAGTGATTTGAGTTCTTCAGGGTATATTCCCAGTAGGGGGATTGCAGGGTCATATGGAAGGTCAATTTTTAGAGCTTTTAGGAATCACCACACTGCTTTCCACAGAGGTTGCACTAGTTTACACTCCCATCAACAGTGTAGAAGTGTTCCCTTTTCACCACACCCTCTCCAGCAGATGTTATTTTTTGAGTTGTTTATAATTGCCATTCTGACTGGAGTTAGGTGGTATCTCAGTGTGGTTTTGATTTGCATCTCCCTGATGATTAGTGAGGTTGAGCATTTCTTCATGTGTTTGTTGGCTGCTCGAATGTCTTCTTTTGTGAAGTGTCTGTTCATATCTTTTGCCCATTTTATAATGGGGTTGTTTGTTTTCTTCTTTTCAGTATGTTTCAGTTCCTTGTAGATCCAGGATGTTAAGCCTTTGTCAGACCTAGAGTTGGCAAATACTTTTTCCCAGTCTGTA